TAAAATTAATTACTTTGATTCACAAAAACACTAAGATCGTGAAAGGGCGTTAGCTACAAAGTAGAAGATAACTGTAATACATGTATCTAGCAGGATTGTATCCAGAATATATATAGAACTACAAACCACTATGAAAAAAGAAAACAGCTTAATAGAAAACGGGCAGAAGACTTAACACACATTTCACAAAAATAGAAATTCAAATGGTCAATAAACACAGTGCTAACATAAAAAACTAATTAACTTCATTAGTCATCAGGTAAATAAAAGCTACAATGTAATACCACTACACACCACTCCAGAATAACTAAAAATAACTGACAATACCAAGGGTTGACAATGATGTGGAACAACTGGAACTCTCATACACTCATGGTGGGAGTATAAATTCATAAAACCACTTTAGACAAATGTGTAGACATATGCACAGGATACTACGGAAATAAAAAGGAGCATCCAAAACAGCTGGGGGAGGCAAGGCATCAGGGTAGGCTTTCTTGGAGGTGTTAACACCTGAGTCTTTAAAAGATGAGTAGGAGTTACCCTGTCAAAGTGCAATCCAACAGAAGAAACAGCTTAAGTAAAAGTACAGTGATAAGAAACAGCACGGTGTATTTAAAGAAATGATTAAGAACTGGTGTGGGGTGGGGAGAAGTGGCGAAAGAGATAGGAAGATGCCAAGTCATGATGGAACCCAGACTTTACCAACAGGCAAGATGGGTCTGTGAGTTTTATGCAAAGAAATTATGGGTCAGATAAATTACTCAGGGAGCTATGTAGAAGATGGATTTAAGGAAGGGATAAGGCCATCAGAAAGGCCAGTAGGAGGAGTTATAACTGTCCAGAAGATAATAAGGGCCCTGAAATAAAATAAAAACTGTAATAAATGTGGAGAAAATACAAAGTATAGATACATTATGCTACTGGTCTAGAGATCACCCTTTGAGAATCATTACATTAATTACAACTTTTTCCTCTAAAGGGCCAAAGAGTAAATATTTTAAGCTTTCTGGGCCACAAAAAGTCTCTACTGAATTTCTTGGTTTTTGTTTGTTTTTTAAACCCTTTAAAAATTAAAAACCATTCTTAGCTAGTGGGTTCTACCAAAAAAAAGGCCACAGGGTGGATTTAGGCTGTGGGCATAGTTAGTTTGCTGATCCCTGCTGTACACCAGTAAAGAAGTGAGGATTAACCTTCCTACGAGATTAATTTTCCTAAAATGCTACTTGCATGAATTCCCTACTCAGAAATTTCTCCATTGGTCCTGACTGCCTACGCTGAATAAGTCAAAACCCTATTGAAGTATAGTTCACAGGCTTCCCTACTTTAGCTCCAACCTACTATTCCAGGCTGATGGAAGTAAATCCTGGCATGAACCTTCCACTCTTATTAAATCGACCTACTGATATTTACCTGTTTTTGTATCTTTGCAGCATCCCCAATGTTTTTCCCTCCCCTCTAAACCTACCCAAATACTCTTCCTTCAAAGCACAATTCAAATCCTACTTTGAAGTGATTCCACCCTCCTCAGGACTTTTAAAAGTACGTCTCAACTTTTGATACTTATTTGCTGTTAAGTTATTATTTACTTCAAATAAACTGTAAATTCCTCAGGGGTAATTTATACTTCTATCATTGGATCTAGCATTTAACAAGGAGTAAATAAAAAATGAAGATATATGGGTGCATATATATGTGTGTATACATACATAAACCCTTTTTTTCTGAATTAGCTATTTAACTGAAGCAAAGGAGATTTTACCCTTACTTGTATCAGTAACTGTACACTTTAATTCTTTGGACACAATCTTAATGTTGTAGATACTACAGAATGATAATCTACAAATACATCTGTCTCTCTCATATTTAGGACTAGTATACTAGGAAAACAACACAAGTGGAATTCTTTCAAAGGTCAACGTTATCAATATAGGATAATGGGATAATATTAAATATAGAAGTTATTAGCAGTTCACTTCTTTTTAAATTGCAAATTAAGCTTTTAACAACACAACTGCTTTAAATTAAACCTGAACCAAGTTAAAGTCATACATACACAAGCCACACGCTAAATTTTTTTTTAAACAGTAAGGTTCTCTATGACAACTCACATTATCAAAATGGCATTATTGACTTCATTGAGAATTTAGGGAAATAAGGAGCTATTTAAAATTTTAAAGAAGTAGTCCATTTTACTTTACTATTGACAAACAGCTATAACACAGAATACTTAGAACTGGATTAAAGAATTCTTATATTTGAGAATATTACCAAAGAAGTCTTTTCAAGTCTGAAGTGTGCCTTATTTTATTTACTACCCAAAGAATGTTCAAGAATCTATAACGATTCATCCAGAATCATTTGCCCCATTTCAATGCAAACTACAAAAAAAGTTCCAAACATTATAGAAAGGTATAGAAAAAAAGCAACAGAAATAAACTAAAAGATGGCCATGACAGTGAACCAAGACGTTTTTAACTCTTCCAAACACACTGAGAAAAAAGCTTAGCGATTTTCAATCCTGGAAACTTTTATTAATTGATGACCTTAATATTAATAATACACTGACTGGAGGACAAACACAGAAGCCAGGACTGCCATTTCTCAGATTCCTTTCTGCCACTGACCAGTACAAAGTCTTGAGCACATCCCAATATGTTGAACAAGAAAAGCTTAACTGACATTCTCAGGTTGTGAAAATTGATTAAATGTTTATGAAGTACTTTAGAACCATGAAGGGAAGTCACTGTAACCATTAAGTGTCATTTGCTTAATACAAAATTGCAACTACCTGTAAGGCTTGCAAATCCAATCAGCACTATTCTTTTGTGTCTCAACACAGCAAACCATCAGTGAGTCAGTAAAGTGCATGTATTTCATGAGCTAGTTTAGCAACCTCAGAAAAATGAATTTTCTTCCAAATCTTTCTTTTCTCACAAACTATGTCACTATCCAATCCACCTATTTGCAAAGAGAAACATGATACGATTCAGATTAAAATTAGGTCTAGTTAGTGATAAGCCAATACCGAATGACTGAAATCTATTAGGAATCACAGTGGAACTTTCTTTGTAAACTTATAGAATTGTGATTCCTGAAAGTAATTCCAGAAAACAGTCGTTCTAACCCGAGCTTTATTAAAAGGAAAGTCCTTACACTTTCTTACATAAAGAATTCTGAAGTGTTTTAGACAGTGCTGAAAGAAGGCTAAAGTCAGTCAAAACCTAGTCTAATTCGTTGGGTAGATCCAGCACCTGCTGGGTGTTGAGCGACTAGACACGGGTGAGGCTGCTCAGGGAAGTGCTGATGCCAGCCAGCTCCAGCTGCCCCCTTCATGAAAGACAGTAACAATAAAAACACCGACAAAAGAGCTGGGAGGCCACCCCAAGCCTCTCTCTGCTCAGCAGTACTTCTACCCTACCCCCAACCTACGGAGCTGCAAATCCCAGGAAAGGCCCTCCTCTTAGAGATTTCACAGGCGGAGTCCTGGTCTCTGGTCTGGCAACGTGAAAAAGTACTACCCTTCACTCCTTTCAAGAGGCTGGGCACCTTAAAGGTGAGGGGGGAAGTGCTGCCTCGTTCTAAACTGCCGGAGAAAAAGGAGAAGACTTCCTGCCAGGAGACGGGTGAGCAGAACCGGCGTGCACACTGACACTGAGAGCACTCGCACCGCCCGCGGGGAGGAAAGGAAAGCGCGTCCCTCGCTTGGCAGGAGAGCGGGGGGTCTCGCGGCTCCCGCGCCGGGCAAACCGTCCTCCCGGGTGGCAGCGGTCGGCCGCCCGCGTCCCGGGAACCGGAGGAGGCGACAAGCAGGCTCGGGTCCCGGAGCACATTCTTTCCTCCCGCCTGGTCCCGAGGGAGGGCACAGGCTGCCTAGGCGGCAACTCTCCCTCTCGCCCAACTCCGGGGTGAGCGCGAGGGCGGCCGGCCCGGGCGGCCCGGCGGGATGCGCCCGGGTGGGGGAGGCGGCGAGGCCGGCCTCCCGCCCGCTCCCTCCCCACGCGGCCCGCGGCCGGCGGCCGTCCGCGCCCTGGTGCCTCCCGCCGCCGCGCGGGGCCGGGCCGCCGACCTCGGCCGGCCGGGCGCGGGGCCAGGTGGCAGCGGCGGGGCGGGCGGGCCGGCCCGGGGCCCTACCTGAGGCTGTGTACCAGCTCCCGGCGTGACTGGCTTCCCGGCAGACCACTCGGTTGGACATCTTGGTGCCTGTGCCGCCTATGGTGCACGAGGATGAATGAGGAGGCGGCGGCGGCGGCGGCGGCAGGAGCGGCTCCGCGAGGGGACGAGACACCGCGGGCCCAGCCCAGGAGGAGGCGGCAGCGGGGAGGGGATCTGCCCGGCCCAGGAGGAGGAGGAAGAGGAGGAGGCGGCGGCGGCCCAGGAGGAGGAGATGGCAGCCGGGGCGGTGGCGGCGGCGGCGGCGGCAACAATCACCACAAACTCCGGCGACCGCCGGAAGATGGGGCCCGCGGCGGCCTCCCCGAAGCCCGGAAAGCTCTGGCCCCGGCCCCCGGAGTCGCCGCTGCTCCGCAGCCGGGGCTGGTTCCGCCGAGCAGCCCCCACGGACCCCTCCCCGCCC